AACATTTTCCCCCCTCCCAAGTCAGGAAACTCAGGATGAGGTATGAGGTTTCCCAGCTGGGGAAAAGAAGTGGCTCTCCCACCTCTCCTTCACAATAGAGGCTACCTTAGCTTCTCACACAACGTGGGCCACATTACATATTATTCAGCCGACAACACAATCAAGTGGGAAGGAACTGCCTCCCCTCTAGACCCAGCCAAGACTCCTCCTCCAGGAAGGACCTAAATAAATGGAATTCTATAGCACTTGATATGTAAGCTTCACCTTTTCCTATAACTTCACAGTGACCAATATAGCATTTGTATACGATTGCCTCTGGGACCTGCCAGGGATAGCGTCAGAAAGAGCCCAGGGCAATGGCCCTCACAAAGGGACAGCCAACTTGACTGTGGGAACCCGGCAAGGCAACTTCCTGACTTTCTGTGCTAAAGAAACCCACCATCAGTTCAACCTAAGTGCAGGGGTCTGGAGAAAGATTTAAGAGAGTTAAATTTAAAACAAAAACCCAACAACCACCCCCAGATCAGCCCTACTATATATAGTCAGTCTTCTGTATGCCTAAAATGGAGAGCTCATCAGTCATATTAATCCAAAATGGCAAATAATCCTAAAAGCATTGCTGTTTCTCAACAAGAGAATGGAGTTGGTAATGCAATTTCTCCTAAAGTTAACCCTAGCACACAGTATTCAACAAGTATTTATTGAATGTTAAATAAATGAAAGATTCATTTCATTCAAGTGACATCTGTAGTTATTTAAACTCTTATCTCTGTACACCTGCTTGACAGAGTAGCAGTGGGTTAGGCCAGAAAGCTCTCTGGACTGGGAGTCAGTACATCTGGGTTCTGGTTTTGGCTCTACCAGTAACTCTCTAAGTGATCTTGGGTAAGTCATGGTACTAAATTTGGAGAGATGGAGGGAGGGGGGAGGGAGTGAGAGGGGGAGGGGGAGAGGGAGAGAGAGAGAGAGAGAAAGAGAGAGAGGGAGAGAAAAAAGTATGGACTACATGATCAACATGTTCCTTTCAGCTATGTTGTTCAACAGAACCTGTATTTTACGACAAATAATTATCATGTCTCTTATTTGGGCACAAAACTCCAACCCTTTTAGCCAGGTTGAAACAGCCACATAGCTGATATGGGCAGTGGCTGGCAGAAAAGGCTGCGAGAAGGGGACGTGAAGAAAGTGAAGGGGCATCGCATCTCAAGGAGGTGATTCTACTCTGTGTTCTAGAGTTGTAAAGTTACTTCTAAATCAAAGGCCCCCTCGTTTTCTGGCCCATGGTGAAGTGTGAGCTCTAAGATCTAACTTATTAATCAATTAGAAAACATCCTAATACCAGAAGAAAAACAGACAAAGGCCTTGGATGGACAATTTACAGAAGAAATGCAAATGGCAATAAACATAAGGCAGATGAGAGGTGCAGAAAGTGTTTAACCTCACTATTAACCAAAGAAATAGAAACTAAATGACATTGACATGTAAGTTTACAACTATCAAATTACCAAATGTTTAAATGAGATGGTTTGAAGCAGATTCTCTCTTACACTGTGGACAAAACAGAGATAGCCTTTCTGTAAAGCAATTTGGCCATGTTTATCAAGAGCCTTTAAAAAAAGCATTCCCTTTGACTCATAATTCCACTTCTAGGAATCTATCCTAAGGAAATAATCACAGATGTGCCCATATATAAGAAAGTTCATCACAGCATTATTTCCAATAATGAAAAATCGGAAACTCCTAAATGTCTGACATTAGGGGAGGGTTATGTTCATGTTATGGAGCTCTTAATAAGTATTTTCAAATAATTTCTAATGATATGGAAAATACTAAGTTAAAAGGCAGGTTTATGAAACTATATTTATAGTTGAATTCCATTTATATTTAAAAATATACTTGTACAGAAAAAAAAATTGAAAGAAATATACCAAAACATTAACAGTGACTATTACATCTTGGTGATGAGTTTATGGGTGATTTTTAAAAGTCTTCTTACTTTCCTATAGTTTCCCAATTTTCAACAATGAGCATGTATTATTTTTAAAATTGTAAAAAGCACAGTAAAGGTGTGAGGGGAGGGAGATGTTTGTTTATTTTCTCTCTAAGCTTTCCAAATATTTAGAGTTAGAAAGGGACCTTTGAGATAATCTAGTCCAGTGGTTCTCAACCCTAGCAGCTCCAACCCTTCCTTGGCATATACAGTATTTTATAATATACCCTTTGCTACCCTGAAATGAACCTCATAGTTAATATGACCTGTTCATATAATTTAAAGGATAGCAATATAATATACTAATTATACTATAAAGAAGAAATAAAAGGAAAGTAATTTATAATAAGATAATATATATTTCAATATACAAATACCTGGGGCAAGACTATACTAACAAATATAATAAAGTAGTGAGCTGCTTCCACCTATATGTAAAATCACCATGAATGCAATCATTGCAAATGAACACTCATCCAAATACGTTGTATTGGCAACTTAAACACCCCGTGAATGGCATTGCCGCCAGTGACATGATTTTCAAAAGTCACGAGCAACTCTTAGTAAAGTTCTAAACAAAAGAAAATGCCATCTTCCCGCAATTTACACAGTTGTTGCATTCCTGGAAATTCGGTGTATATATTAAAACTATAAAAACATTTTGTGTTCATTTTTAAAATAATTAGGCCCTGCTAATTATACCGGGTTTTTCTACCTACATTAATGTTGGGTAGGAAATTCAAAGTTTTACAGATGCAGATTTTATAGTTCCCATTCCCCTATCATATTTATTCAAAACATGAAACCCACAATGATTTTTTGTGTGAGTTGGGCTTGTATCCTTTAAAACTAATGATATTCAGAGTTGTAGCCTTTGACACTATTTCTAAAACCTGTCGCCTAAGAACAGCAAGAGATTCCTAGAACATATTCTTAAAACTGACATAAATGTTTTTTAAATTATTGGGAACATGGCTCTTCTTTAGTAGCACCCCATGGCATGAGAACAAATTATCATTTTTTAAAACCATTTACTGTGCTCCCTTGGTGATTTTCCCTAGCCTGGCCCCAGCCCCAGGAGTATAAAATGAACTGCGCTGGAAGAAAAGGACTAACAGGGCCAGGCCACAGGGAGAAGGAAGGGGGCTAGGTTGCTAGGTTACCACTTGAGCCAATCAAAGTGGTCCCAGAGGGGTACCAGACACAGGACAGGTCCCTCTCTCTGCCCCACTAGGTTGAGGGCCCTCTCAAAGGAGGGGGTCAAAAGGTGGGGGAGGGAGGCTGATCACTCACACTAGGCACAAGTAAAGAAATGAGGCAGAAGCACAAAGAAACAGACAGCCCTGCATTTCTAAAACCATTCAAGTCTCCTTCATTAATTGGCTTCCCCCCAAAAGAAAGATTTCTTTATTAAGAAATACCAGAGAGTGAAAAACCCCCAACACATACACATTTGTAGGCTCACATAAAAGTGCAGAGATTTACATATTAAATTGCATTTAAGTTAGAAAATAGATTTAAAAACAAAATACTTTTTTTCTCCAACAAGGTAAAGAGATTTGGTCAGTAGGAAAAGGAGCCTTGGAGGTAAAGGCAGGACAGGAAGAATGGAATTTAGCTGCTACAGAATTAGAACTCACCTCTAACCCAACCCCGCTCCTGCGAAAAAAAGGAAACGGCGGGGGGGGGGGCGGGGGGGAGTGATGATCTCAGCTAGGGCCCGGAAGGCCTCAGAGCCAAATGGACGTGAAGAAATGGCCCAACAGAGCCAAATTCTACCCACCCCAGAGGTGTGGGATCAGTGCCAACCATCCTGGCTTGGGCAAGTGGGGTGCATAGGAAGCTTGAGGAAGGGGAAAGAAGGGGAGAGTTGGAGAGAGTGTCAGCCACTGGAAAGATCAAACAATTTAAGGCCCTTTTCCCCTCCGGAAAGATCAATTCTTCAATCTTTCCTCTGATCAGAACTCAGACTAGGGACAGTCCCAGCTTGTGCATGGTATGAATGGGACAGAGCTTCAGGCCAAGGTCTTAAATACAGAAGATTTATAAAAGAAAAGAAAGAAGGCAGGGAGTATGAAAAAGCAGAAACTTTAAAAAGATAATTTCACACTAGAGATAAAATATTTCCATTTTGACCCTTCACATCAGAAAGAAAAAGCTTCTGTGACTGACCTAAGGGTCAGCGGGAGAGTGGTTGAGGTAAGTTGAGGGAGAACAGAAATTCATCTGGGCCCAGGAGAGGAGATGGACTGAGTACTGACTAAAAGGGTTAATATGAGTGCCAGGTTAATGGGAAAATCTAATAACTTCCAGACTCTCCAGGCTTGGAGCTCTTTTGAATTACGTAAAATCTGTGAGAAAAAAAAAAAAAAACCCAGCCAGAAAAAGAACAGGAAAGGAGAAGCAGACAGAAGAGGAATCTGAGTCAGTCTCTCTTCCAATCTCTCTCCCTCAGGGATGCTCAACTCAATTCCTGCTACAAGGAAAATAGGAAGACATAGAGAAAAATCTGGAAGCAGCCAAATTTCATTAATTCTGATTAACTGGGAAGTGTGAAATAGGAATTGGTAAGGAATCTGGATTACACACCATTTAAAAAGAAATATATACTGTCACTTGTAAAAGACCACTAACCAAATATTTCCAAGGGGAGGCCCTGATGAGCCTACTTTAATGATCAAGACTCACTTGCAATTAATAGCATCCATCTTGTTGAAAACAACATCCTAATATAGAGCTTGTTCTCCTAAGTAAATATAATCCCCCTACCCTCCTGATCTTGTTCATACTGTATATTGCTTTGAAAGTCCTTTCTTCATAGTCCAGAGTAAGATAAACTTCAGCCCAGAATGTAGTATAGATCAATGGAGAGTTTGGGAGCTCTCTCTCCAACCCAAGGGTACCCTGGGAAACAGAAGTGTGGGTAGTAACAAGCAATCCCTTCCAACCCCCACCCCCACCCTACACACAAACATTCTTGAAATAGAAGGGGGAAGGAGGAGGCAGGCAGTTTGCATTAGATACAGTTTAATTGCCTTCAAATAGATTAAAAGTTCTGGTTTATACTCCCCCCATAAGTCATCCAGACAGAACCCTGGCTTAGAAAGAGGAAAACACAGGTGCTCTAGGAAATATAGCCACATATAATACATAAATCTTCTTCCCTGAAATAGAGCAGGTCCTGAGCAGAGCTGACTGGGGGCCGCAGCCCACCCCCAGTCAGGATGAAGTGGCTCTGGGACTCTGCCGGTGGAAGTGCTGGAAGAGTGGGGCTTGGAGGAAGCCCCTGGTGTGGTTACCGTAGCCCAAGGTGGGCTGAGGCCTTGGAGTGGGTTACCCGGAAGGGCAGCAGTGCTGGGCTTTTGCTTACTCGGCCAAGGCTTAATGGAAGTATTGGTTAGCCTTTTCTTTTCTGTTTTTGTTGTTGTTGTTGTTGTTGCTGAGGGGACATCGGGGGAGGGGAGAGGAGAGGAGAGCCTCTCTGTGCCTTGGTTTCCCCATTTGTGCATTCAGGGCCTCTGCAGGCCTCACACAGGGAGTCTGAGGGGGGTAGTGTTTAAGTGAGCACTTGGGCTTCCTCTGAGGAAAAGAAACCACCAAAGTGCAGACTTTTATTACTGCCATTCTTGCTCCCAATGAGAGCAAGAGTAGAAAGGAAAACAAATTAAAAGGGGCTGATGAGAAAAAGGGAGAATGAGACAGAGAGTGTGAGGGGCTATGCTGTTGGCATCTCATAAATTCTTATTGAGAATGGCACAGGTATTAAAAAGTTTCTGGGTAGTCTACGAGAAATGTAAATTGTTATCTCTACTACAACTACTTACATATATCTAATGGGAAAAGTGGGCTTGGGTGTTAGGGAGTGGTGTGGGGACAAAGGAGAAGCTACACGAATAAATACAAGTGGAAGTTACCTGCCCCATTCCTAAAAGGATTAGCTGGCAATGCTGGCACTTGGTAGCCAGGAGAATCCTCTGACCCCACTCTCCATCCTCTTCAATTCTGAAGGCTCCAAGAACCCAGTTAGGATCCCCTAGCTAGAGGTCTCTGTGACTGCCTCTAGACTCCAGACATGCAGCAGCTTGGGAGGATTTGAGCCAGTCTCAACCTTTAACCTCAGAATGAGACCAATGACCCCAAGCAGAAGAGCTAGGATTTAGAAAGAAGAGAGGGGAGTCCAAGGAGACCCTGTGGCCAAGGCCATGGAAAACAAGTGTCAGGGCCCAAGAGACCCACTTGTCCAGTTACCAGAGATGACTGACATCTTCTGCTACTGCCTTGAGTCCAGAAGTTTTAAAAAGCCTACAGCAAGAAAATGCCAGTGTGCAACTGGGTGACTGAAGACCGAAGGGGGGAAAAAAACAGTAAAAGGGACAGCTTACTTGCTCTCTGTCTCAGGTTTACGTCTCACCTGAAATCTCTCATAGCCCTAATTAAACACAAACAAAAGTCTCTTCCATAGATAGGCTACTTCTCAGCTTCAGTCTCCTCCTGTGGTGGCTCTGGGGGCTCTGGAGGTGGCATCTCTTCGGGAGTGCTGGTGTCCTCCGGCATCTCATTTGAGTTCAGATGTTCTGTTGGGGCCTGATAAGGAAAAGATAGCAGATTCAACACAAAGCTCTCCCTCAGAATCCAAATGCAGATAATCCACAGACACTGAACTCTTTCTCTGAACCCCTCGACCACACTGATGCTACAGAGATGCAGCCACCGACATCAAACTCAGAACCAAGACCAGGCTATCGTCTTCTCAGCAGAATGCAACCGAAGTTTATTTGAGTTATATACTTAACTGTCTGTTGTGGATATATTTTCCATTATTATTCATCATAATAACAGGGACCACAAATAACTACACAGGTCCCACCCACAATTCAGAACAAGATATCATAATGTACTTATCTAACAAGGCCTGACCCAATGGTTCTCAATCCTGTTTCTGCCCTAACACACAGCTCACTAGAATAATGATTCTAAGCCAAAGAAGCTGGGGTGTCAAAATCTTCAGATGATCATATGTGGTTGGAAAATGCCCCTAATTGATTCTAAAATACCAGCCTTCCCCACATTCAACCAAGAATCACTAACCTACATTGTTATGATTTGAGACCAGACTCATCAGAAAAAGTGATATTCAAAATTATGACAATAATATATAAACATGGGTTTCTGGACTTTTAAAAAGAAAATTCAAAATTTAGGAAAAGCAAATTAGAGAACAATTATCTACCTTACAAAAAACATTCATTTAAAAGTAGGATTCTATTTTCAAACACAGTTCAAATCTACTAAAAATCCGTTAGAACTAATAAAAAAGTTTGGCAAGGTTTCAGGATACAAGATCAATATATACAAATCAATTGTATTTCTACACACTCTCAATAAACAATCTAAAAATGAAATTAGGAAAACAATTTCATTTACAATAACATCAAAAAGAACAAAATACTTATGAATAAATATAACAAAAGAAGTCTAAAACTTATACTCTGAAAACTACAAAATATTGTTGAAATAAAGATTTAACTAAGTGAAAAGACAGCCCATGTTAATGGCTCAGAAGACTTAATCTTGTTAGAATGGCTATATTCCCCCTATTGATCTATAGATTCAATGCAATCCCCATCAAAATTCCAGCTCACTTCTTTGCAGAAATTGACAAGGTGATCCTAAGATTCATATGGAAATTTAAGGGACCCAGAATAGCCAAAACAATTGTGAAAAAGAAGTACGAAGTTGGAGTACTCACATTTCCTAATTTCAAAACTTACTATAATGCTAAAGTAATGAAGACAGTGTGGTACTGGCATAAGAGCAGACATATTGATCAACGGAATAGAATTGAGAGTCCAAAAACAAACTCTCACACTTACAGTCAATTGATTTTCAACAAGCGTGCCAAGACAATTCTATGGAAAAAGAATAGTCTTTTCAACAAATGGTACAGCGACAATTGGATATCCACAGGCAAAAGAAAGAATGTGGACCCCCCCACTACCTCACACCATATATAAAAATTAACTCAAAATCGATCAAAGACCTAACTGTAAGAGCTAAAACTATAAAACTTTTACAAGAAAACAGAGGTATAAATCTTCATGACTTTGGATTAGGTAATCATTTCTTAGTTATGACACTAAAAGCACAAACAACAAAAGAAAAAATAGATAAATTGGACCACATCAAAATTTTAAAATTTTGTGCTTCAAAGGACACCATCAAGAAAGTGGGAGAAAATATCTGCAAATCATGTATCTGATGAGGGACTTGTATACAGATTATATGAAGAACTCTAACAACTCAACACTAAAAAAGATTAATAACCCAATTAAAAAATGGACAAAGGCTCTGAATAGACACTTCTCCAAAGAAGATATACAAATGGTCAACAAGCACATGAAAAGATGTTCAACATCATTAGTCATCAGGGAAATACAAGTCAAAACCACAATGGGATATCACTTCACATCCATTCCACTAAGATGGCAAGAATTAAAATATCAGATAGTTAAGTGTTACCGAGGATGTAGAGAAACTGGAACCCACATACACTGCTAGTGCGGGTGTAAAACAGTGCAGGCACTTTGGAAAACAGTACAGCAGTTCCTCAAAAGGTTAAACATAGGGTCACCATACGACCCAGCAATTTCACTTCTAGGTATATAGCCAAGAGGAATGAAAACATATGTCTATGCAAAAACTTGCACATGAATGTTCATAGCAGCATCATTCATAATAACCAAAAGACGGAAACAACCCAAATGTCCATTAACTGATGAATGGATTAAATAAAATGTGGTATATCCATATAATGGAATATTATTAGGCCATGTAAAGGAATGAAGTACTGCTACATGCTACAACATAGATGAACCTTGAAAATATGCTAAGTGAAAGCAGCCAGTCACAAAAGACCACACATTGTATGATTCCATTTATAAGAAATGTCCAGAAGAGGCAAATCTATAGCAAAAGAAAGTAGATTAGTGGTAGCCTAGGGATGGGACTGGGGGAATTGGGGGGAAAGGGAGAGTGACTGCTAATGGATACAGGGATTTTTATGGGAGAGAGGAATGAAAATGTTTTAAAATTGATTGTTGTGATGATTATACAACTCTGAATATACTACAAACCAGTGAATTATGTTTTAAATAGGGATCATATGGTATGTGAATTATATCTCAATAAATCTCTTATTTTAAAAAAGAAAGTTCAAATAATAACTTTTTAGGAAAATACTTTATAAAGCATACCTTGAGCAGGACAGCTGGGAGAGTTTCCACAACATCTGCATATTCCAATGAGGAAGCCCCGTTCTAAGATTACCAAGGTAACCATATCACTAATCCAACATGATCCCCTGACCCCTATCTTTGCTCCTCTAGCATTTTATGCTTCCCTCATCAAGGGACTTTTGATAATGTTGAACAATGGCCTATTTTCTTGTCTCTCATCCCCACTAGACAATGAGCTCCTTGAGAGCAGGGCCATCATTTGCCTTGTTCACTGGTGTGAACCCCAGCACCTAGCACAGTAGCTGGCACAGAGTAGCTATGTAATATATGTCAAAGATATGAATAAATCTTAATCTACCTCAAGGGCACAAAGATCTGAAGACAATGTCAGGGCAGGAGCCAAGACAGGGAAGCTAGGGTGACTAGGATATAAAATTGCCTAATTATATTTCCAAGCTATAAAGTTAGCTTCCACCCTCTCCATCACCGACTCAGCCTTAAGTCAGGAACACTTACTGGGCTCTGTGGCAAGAGGCTGCTACTGGTCTCTTGAGTACTAGGAGGTCGACTTCCACTTTCCTCCAATGGCAAAATACCCCTCCGATCCAGCACACTGAAGGAGACAGGAGAGTTAACAATGGACTTGGCATTCCCCACATCTACTCACGCAGCCCACTGAACTTTGCTGTGTAAATTGGAAAACATAAACTTGTCTTTTGGCAATCTGGCCTGATCCTAGCACATGCCTCCTGTCTTCCATTCACTTTTTCTTCCACAAACCAGGGAATGCCACATTAACCAGGCAACAAACACATGAAATAAGAATGAAAGATCATCCCTTCCATACAACCAGCCCATGGTCTATGGTCCATGTAGATATGGTACCAGGTGACATGCCCTGGGAAGACCTATTTGACACCAAGGGGCCACATTCACAATAATGCATCAGACCAGGTAACAGGATTAGATTGAGCTGCTCATCCCAAGAGTTCCAGGACCTTTCGGTCCCCTAAGTACCTGGGAGGCAAGGGGCCACACAGCACTTCACAGCAGTTCTTCACAATGTTGCCATGGCTGTAGGGATTCTGGACGCGATTCTTCCCTGTCCATGATCCTTTGATCTGCAAGATAAAAGCCAAGGCTTATATTAAAAATTATGTTGGGCCGGGCGCGGTGGCTCACGCCTGTAATCCTAGCTCTCTTGGGAGGCCGAGGCGGGTGGATTGTTTGAGCTCAGGAGTTC